GAGGCCCCTACATTTCCAGCTCACTTCATCACCTACAAAAGTCTTCTTGTCAACTACTATCTAGTTTCATGCAATAAATTATTACTATGTATTGCTATCTATTTAAAAAAAAAAGATTATTTTTTTGAAAGTCAGAGTTACACAGAGAAGGAGAGACACACACAGAGAGAGGTCTTCCATCCACTGGCTCACTCTCCAATTAGCGGCAATGGCCAGAACTGCACCGATCCGAAGCCAGGAGCCAAGAGCTTCTTCCAGGTCTCCCACATGGGTGCAGGGGCCCAAGGGCTTGGGCCATCTTCTAGTGCTTTCCCAGGCCATAGCAGAGAACTGGATCAGAAGTGAGCAGCCAGGACTCGAACCGGCATCCATATGGGATGCTGGCACTGCAGGCAGCGGCTTTATCCACTATGCCACAGCAACAGCCCCTGTTATCTAATTTCATCATCTCCTTTATCCTCCTGCTAACCCTGTGAAGTAGATGTAATGATATTCATTTTAAGACTAGGAAACTGAGACCTGGGTTCTAGAAACAAAAAAGTGGTGGGTCTGGAATTTAAAATATCTGAGCCAATATTTCCTTGACAACAAATTAGGGATAAAAATAATTAACTTCCTTGAGTTACAAAGATCATCTACAAAAATAGCACTTTGTAAAAATGTAAAGTGTCCTACAAATGTTAGCTATAATTATTGACTAATGACTAGAAAGCTCTTATCCTCCTCATGAGAGGATACACATTAGAATCTGGCTCTGGGTCCAACTCAGAAGATTCTGTTGTTATCAGAATTCCACCAACATGGCAGCCCAGGGCTACTAAGTTCCATTGCAATAATGTAATTAAATCCATAAAGCATATAATTTTCTTAAACACAAATGTACTGACTCCTTATCACCTGCAACAGCAAATAAAAAATTTTTGGGGGGCTGGCACATATGAGTGTTCTTCATTCTACGCATGCCACAGCATGTCCACTTCCACCTTTTTTTTTTTTAAGATGTATTTATTTGAAAAGATGCAGAGAGAGACACACACAGACAGAGAGAGACAGAGATCTTCCATCCACTGGTTCACTCCCAAAATGCTTGCAACAGCTTGGGTTGCAATAAGCTGAAGCCAAGGAACCAGAAACCAGGAATTCCATCCAAGTCTCCTACACAGGTGACAAGAGACCTATGCACCTGGACCATCTTCTGCTGCTTTCCCAAGTGTATTTGCAGGGAACTGGATCAGAAGTATAGCAGCTAGGACTCAAAGATGCTTTCATATGGAATGCCCACATCACAAGAAGGAGCTTAACCCACTGTGCCACAATGCCAGCCCCCATTTCTGCCTTATGATGCTGTGTGGGATACCCTCCCTACATTTCACTTTCAAAACTGATCTTGAAAGTCTTGCAACAGAAAATTTTAAAAAGATGGAATCATCTGCCTGCTACTCACTGCATACTTAACTACCCCCCACTTGCAACATTGCATAGTTTGGACTTGTACATATAGTTACTGTTAAAGGTAAGGTTCCACGCTGGTGACAGGTGTACCAGATTAGAAGTCAGACAATAGCTCAACTCCTTATTTTGCCTCTTGGCTCACTTAATGCCTCCGAACTAATGCAAGAATAATATGTACACATCACCAGAGTTTCCTGGTTGATAAAGAAATGGCAATCAAAGTATAGAATAGATGTTTATTAGGCTGGCGCCGTGGCTCAGTAGGCTAATCCTCCGCCTGCGGCACCAGCACACCGGTTCTAGTCCCGGTCGGGGCACTGGATTCTGTCCCGGTTGCCCCTCTTCCAGGCCAGCTCTCTGCTGTGGCCTGGCAGTGCAGTGGAGGATGGCCCAAGTGCTTGAAGAGCCCTGCACTCGCATGGGAGACCAGGAGAAGCACCTGGCTCCTGGCTTTGGATCAACGTGATGTGCCGGCCGCGGCGGCCATTGGAGGGTGAACCAATTGCAAAAAGGAAGACCTTTCTCTCTGACTCTCTCTCTCTCACTATCCACTCTGCCTGTCAAAAATATATATATTAATGACATACTGTCTTGTATTAGTCAAGGCCTATTTTGTGGTGTATGCCACTTCCAGGATGGCCCATAATAGAAGAGACAAGTTGCCTCAGCTTTCTTCCCTGATCTTAGGCCCATAGATTAAACTATTTCATGGCCACAGAGGATGGTACAGCTACTAGATGGAAGAAGTCTGATTCTTCTGTGAGTGCAAGGAGCAAAGATTTCATCTACCGGTCCCCATCAACCCACTACACACTATCTTGTATGAAACACAGCCTTTATGGAGGTAAGCCATGGAGACACTGGTACTGTTAGCCCAGCCTGGTTAATGTGCACCTTCTATCCAGCACCAACAGCAGCCTAAGCGAAAGGGGTCCCTATTCTAGTTGCAGGATCTGCAATACAAATTCAAACTCTAACAACCTCTCACATAGTCCATGATCTGCTCCTGGTATATGCGCTTCCCAAAGGCCTGTCTAGTGCACCCTCCTCTTTCTCACCAGAGACTTCCCTGACCTTCCCACCACACACAGTAACTTCTCTTTGCTCTCAGTGCAGACCATGCTCTTCTGTTTTACCAGCGATTCGATTTTACTGCAAGCGTTGGCACACTCTTCCACAAACTCAGTCTTCTCTTTGATTCCCAGCATTTAGTTACTGGGTCTGGCACCTAACAGAAATAAGTATTAAAGGAATAATTGTCATATATGACCGTAATTGAGTCATTTATTTCTTAAGTCTATGATTAAAAAAATTTTTTTTAATTTTTTGACAGGCAGAGTGGACAGTGAGAGAGAGACAGAGAGAAAGGTCTTCCTCTTGCCGTTGGTTCACCCTCCAATGGCCGCCGCGGCCGGGAGCCGGGTGCTTCTCCTGGTCTCCCATGGGGTGCAGGGCCCAAGCACCTGGGCCATCCTCCACTGCACTCCCGGGCCACAGCAGAGAGCTGGACTGGAAGAGGGGCAATCACCGGGACAGAATCCAGCGCCCCGACTGGGACTAGAACCCGGAGTGCCGGCGCCGCTAGGCAAAGGATTAGCCTATTGAGCAGCGGTGCCGGCTTTTTTTTTTTTTTTTTTTATGATTAAAAACTTTTTGCAGAGTTGCTGTAATAGTCAGTGTGAACATGATGTTAAGGTTATAAACAGATTCGAACAGTAAAGGCTTTATTCTATGCTTATGCTTTGTAGGTCCTTCTCAATTTGTTCAGTCAAATCCATCTTAATGCTTCAATAGAAACACAATGCAGGCCACATTTGCAATCTTAATACTATTAGTAACCTCAGCTTAAAAAAAAACCTGAATGTGAGTGGAATTAATTTTAATAATATACTGATATTTATTTTCGATACTATATTTAATCCAGTAGATCAACAATATCACCCATGACCTGTTCTACATTCTTGAATTTAAGTCTCCTAAATCCGGCATGCAGGTCGCACTGAAACGCGTCCCCACTCCCAGCCGCACGCGTGCGGCGGCGGTGACCGCGCCCCAGCGCCTGTGCAAAGCGATGGCGAAGCATCACCAGCCCGCACGCCCTTCGTCCCCACCCCCAGGAAGCCAAGACGCGTCCTGCGCCACCGTGCCCGCAGCGATGCTCCAGCCACGGCTGTCAAACCCAGGTAATGGACGACCCTGTGTGCAAAGAGCCTCGCTGGAGGGGCAGGAGGCCGCCAGTCAGGGAGGGACCGGAGCCCCGCAGCCGGGGTCTGCCCAGCCCGCGCCGCCGCCTCTGCAGCCCCGGAAGCGGGCGGGGATTTCCTGTGCCCGCCCCGCCCGCCCGGCACTGGCTCTGCTGGCCACTGGCCACCGGCTCCGCCGGCCACCGACTAAGGGCTCCGACACGGGCGGAGGACGGAGGGGGCAAGCGGCGCCCGGCAGGGAGGCAGCGGGCCATCTGCCTGGGGTGAGTGGGGCCGGGCAGAAGGGACGGACGCGGGCACCCGGGCGGCGGCGGGTGGGATCGGCCCCCGGGGGCGGGGAGCGGGTGGCAGCGGCCTTCCCGGGGGTCGGGCCCCCCTGACATGCCGCGCTTGCCGCTGCCCGGTCTCTGTCCACGCTTGGCTGCCGGGGCCACAGGCTCCTTCGGCTGTCACTCGCGCACCGCTCTCCACGCCACCGTTTCTCGTCCCTTGCTCCTGCCCTTGCGCCGGGGAAGCCTGCGCCGGGGAAGCCTTGTCGGATTCTCTGCAATCTGACCCTCTCTCGTGGCACCGCCAAGGAGGAGGGAAGACGCAACCTTATTCTCAAGCAGGTTGGCGCTGCCCACACCCACCCGCCTTGGTCTCGATGTCCCTGTGCCCTTGGGCTACTCGTCTCGATAACATGGCCCTTTTCCTGTCCAGCAGCATCACTGCAAAAACTTCCATCTGCGGTGCCTTGCCACGCAGATGGATGAGGAAAGGGGGAAAACGGACGCCCCAGATCCAGACTCCAGTAGGCATGGGGCCGCCCTGGAACCAGGAAGCCCGGCTAGGGCTGCCAGCTTCATCACCAAGTGCTGGCTCTGCAGGAGTATCTTGGGAAGTGCAGGCTGAGAACAGGTGCCCACTCGGCTGCTTTGCCATGATTATGCCGCACTTCCACAGGGTTTCTATTAGTGGTCCGGAGGCCTCACAGTCAGCCCAGTGGGCTCTGTGAAAAGATACTGCCTGTCAAGGGACTCTGCTGGTTAACTGCAGGAAGAGGGTGAAGAAATGAGCAAGAGACAGATGTGCAGATATTTAACTAGAAGTAAAGCCCTGGGGCCGCGGGAGTTAGAGAACAAGCCAGGGTGGAGAGGGGCACCTGGTGCCTTGTGTGTTAAACGTGAAGAGAGTACAGGGGCTGAAATTCGCAGAGGAGAGAGAAAATCACGGTTTCCCTTTACTGCTTTATGTAGAACTTTTCATTCATGTGAGACATCTGTGAAAAGCTGGAATCACTCCAGGAAGCGCCCATGAGACCCTAAGTCATCTTTAGGAGTTTGAGAATAAAGGTGAATTTGATCTTCCTGTGCTCTGAATTCAGGTTTCCACCCACCTCTTATATCAGGCAAGAAAAAAAGCAATCTGTCATCTGTCTTTACCTACCCTGGCCTTCTGTGTTCTTGCAAACATTATGGGATGAATGTGAGTGAGCCAAGATAATGACCAAGGTGCTGCCTTGTTTTTGGAAGGCTTTCACTAACTCTGACTGCTTGGGTATTGAATAACAATCACAAAAATATGTTGCCAAGCAAAAAGTAATAGTGTACAGTCTCATAATGGACTTTTTCTAGCATACCGAAGCGAGGCCCCTATCGTAACACAAGCAGGACTTGCCCTGCTCTTAAGGTGTCCAAAGAAAACAGCCTATCGCCTGATCTTGTGCACTGAAGGTTGGGGAGAAATTTTTAATTGACTTAAATCTCTTCTCTTGCGATCAAAACCCTTTTCTTCCATGTGTTCTACATGAAGATATAAAACATTTCTCTATTCTTTGGTAATATCACACATCATCCCTCTCTAAACAGAAGCTGTGTTCACCATTTTTGACATTTTCATTGGCTGTCTTCCCCATCCCTTTCTTGGTCTTCATTTCTTCTGATGAACACACACTGGCTTCTTCACACACGTATTTAGAACTTTATACATTTTTCTAATGAGATATGACTGGTCCCTGCCGCACACACAGGTTCTTCATCCATGCGTCCAAATCAAAGGGCTTTTGGCTTGCCCCAGCATCATGTGTGCAGCATAGCTTCCCCGTTTTCTACCTACAGTTCTTCCCCGCCCCCACCCCCACCCCCGGATAAAACATCAGCGCCTCACTGACCAACAGTGTCTCTTACCTCTTAGGGTTGCTTTGGAGTCTTACACCTGTTTTCCAAGGTACTGGTGTTTCATCATATTTATTACCAGGTTTCATCTTATACTTGAGAGTGACAGATCATAAGTCTCTTTCTTGAAGCTTGTCCTAAGTGAGACACCATTTAGTTCAGCCTCCGAAGAACTCTGTACTCACGACATAAATACAGCCCCTGGCTGCGGTTGTCATCTCCTTCTGCACTCATGAGTAAGGACATGACTACGTCGATCTCTTTGGGTGCAGTTCTGTGTGCATCCCTTCCTACATGTTTCCAGTTGCTCATTTTCCTGTACTTTCAGTGGTTGAGATCAAAGCTTTTAAATTTCCAGGATTGCTAATTTTTTAAAATGAAGATCCCCCAGTCATCAGGGATATTCTGTTTCTAGTAGAAGATCCCCCCAAATAACAGTTAATGACTTTGCTATATAGCACCTACCAATTCATTTATTTCTCCAAGAATCTGTGCTCACACTCAGTTGCTGGAATACATCAAACTTTTAAAGTTCATCTTACATAAGCTCCTCCTCTCCAGTTTCATCTTTTATACCTGGGACCGTTCACCATAATTCCCTTGGAATATCACTCCTTTCCATTTTTATGGGCATGGCTAATATGAATGTGTTGCAGGTCACAATCTGGGTTTGCAGCAAAAATGCTTTCAGAACAGACAGCAGCACTGGGGACACGATGGGAGTCGATGAATGCACAGCTGGATGGAGCACAGTCCCATGTGGAAAGGAGAAGCCAGGAAGAGGGGTCGTGGAGAACCTCACCGGGGCCTCTGGAACACCTGTGCTGTGATCTTGAAGAGGAGCCACAGTCCCTTCAAGAGAAGGGTGAGAACCACAGGGTGTGAGGGGAGCATAACGCATAAAGAAGTCCCCTAATCTTTGTTTAAAACATAGAGCTGAAAAAACCCTCAAATAGCCGTGGACTGAACAACAGTACCAACACCAGGACCAGCCCATCATTCCTGGACCCTGGGCCCAAGTACATGTGACTGGGCTTCTTCTGTTCCTTGCATAATCACTCCCTGCACATGCTGGTGCATAGTTAGTGGTACTGAGTGTGGGAGATGATGGAGTGATAGCAACACTATTTACTGTTAGAGAATACAACCAGTAAGGTGTACTACTTTACTACATGAAAACTGCACTTGAAAAATATAAATTCTGACTAAAATCTACCTAATATCCTGGCAGCACATTTTGAGTGAAGTCTTCTTCATCAGTGTCTATACATTTGAGTTTTACCACTGAGCATAGGTATAGAAGAAGTTACCCCTAAGCTCCACTAAACTGAGGCTCAGGCTCTCATGGAAAAGCATAGCCAGTTCATCTCTAATGGTTCCTTTCCTTCTCCCCACCAGCTCAGTCCGCTCCCTGGGTCCCTGCAATTCCCCAGGAGGGGAGCGCCGGAGACTGGGAGATGGCAGCTGCACTTCTTGCAGCCGGATCACAGGTGAGCTGTACTTCCCCTTGACTTCACCCCAGATGTCATCACTATTGCCTTTCTAAGCTTTAATGTCATCCCATTGACTTGTTAGTTCACATGAAGACTAGTGATGTGTTCCTCTTACAACTGAAGAGATCCTGGACCTTTTCAAGGGGTTCATAAGACCCTTGGAAAATTAAGTGGAGGCATAACAGGAAGAGGGAATTCCTTGAGGTTAGGATATTTTAATGGATAGCTATGTTATCCACAGAGGTAGAGAAATTAGCTTCCTTGAAGAAATAAATCAAGAAAGATTAGGAAAAGAGGACCTGAAGAAAGTTTGGAAGAACATAAAGTAGACAGGTTTAGATAGACAATAGAACATTTATGGAAGAGAACAGAATAAATATGCAAAGAGGAGCAGAGCCAGTGAAGGAAAAACGGTTAGGTTCATTCAGAAGGCAGTAAGAGAACATGGAAAAATACTGATAGTGGTAGTGGTAATAGTAATAGTGGTAGTTGCAGCTGCACTCCTAGAGCTCTTAATTCTTTTTTCTTTTTTTGATAGGCAGAGTGGACAGTGAGAGAGAGAGACAGAGAGAAAGGTCTTCCTTTTGCCGTTGGTTCACCCTCCAATGGGCGCCGCGGCCGGCGCGCTGCGGCCAGTGCACCGCACTGATCCGGTGGCAGGAGCCAGGAGCCAGGTGCTTTTCCTTGTCTCCCATGGGGTGCAGGGCCCAAGCACCTGGGCCATCCTCCACTGCACTCCCTGGCCACAGCAGAGGGCTGGCCTGGAAGAGGGGCAACCGGGACAGAATCCGGCGCCCCGACTGGGACTAGAACCCAGTGTGCCGGCGCCGCTAGGCGGAGGATTAGCCTAGTGAGCCGCGGCGCCGGCCCTAGAGCTCTTAATTCTGAGAACAACTCAATCAATCCATTTTACAGATTAAAAATTGGGGACAGGGAGAGATTAAAGCACTTGACTTGTATAAGGTCATACTGCTAGTAACTGGCAAAACAAAGAGAAATTTGGCTCCAGATTCCCAACTCCTAACCAGTGATGACATGCCAGAAGAGGAAAGAAAATAATTTTTTACCTGATTTTGGCCGATAGGAAAGGTCAAGTGGAAGGAAGAAGAAATGGTATAGAATTTCTGTAGTGAAGAGTGAGGCAGGTGAGGAGAGAGAGTACATAACAGTGATTGAACAAGCAGTGGTGATTCGTAGTGCCTCTGACTTCTCATGGCCCCACTTGGGAGGCTCTTCAAGCAACATTACCCTCACTCACTCCTTGATCACGTGCCTTTACTCCTCTCTTCATTTTCTCTTTACCAAAACTATGTACCTGACCCGGGGACTCCTGGGAAATTCTTTTCCAAGACCTTTGCTTGCTCTTTCCTCTACTACCTCAGACTTTTATACTGAGATCACATGTTTTTAAGGAACAGTTACTGACAGAAGATGCTACCTTTTGTTTCAGGGACTGGTAACCATCAAGGATGTGTCATTGTGCTTCTCTCAGGAGGAGTGGCGGAGCCTGGACCCCTCTCAGACAGACTTTTATGGAGAATATGTCATGCAGGAAAACTGTGGGATAGTGGTCTCTCTGAGTAAGCACAACCTTCTCTGGCCACAAGATGACTGAACCCTGGCAGAATGGAGCCATCTGCTTCAGAGCTGTCGGACAGTATCTATTGGGGGTTTTCTTCCTAGCAGGGAATCTGTCTAGGCTTCCAGCAAAGAAAGAACACTAGGGCTAAGCCCAAGATAGTGGAAGTGAAGTGTCATTTCTAAAAATCAATACAAATAATACTGAATTATGGAGTAAAGAATTTGAGACTCTTCTTAGTTGAGAATTGGGAAGTTCTTACAAAGAAGAGAGAGGAGCATCTGAAACTGGGTCCTTGGAAATTCATGAACTACCTAGGATAAGCTGGGGGTACAGCGGGTGGGTGGAGTCCTTGTAGTAGAACTAAATTGCAGTTAGGTCCAGAAAGGACTGTTGACCTGGGAGAATCTGAGTGGAAAAGAACAGACTCATTGGAAAACAGGGTGTGAATTTCTAAGACAAGTACGGATTTAACAAAAGTGTGGCAGAGTAAGAAGTTTACATATGGCCTTATTTTATCTAGAGTTCCAAGGAATAATCTAGAAAAAGACTTTTTCAGAAGAATAAATTAATTGTTGAACTAACTGACATCTTTATTTTCCTTTCCCATGAGCAGGATTTCCAATTCCCAAACTGGACATGCTGTCTCAAGTAGAAGGAGGGGAAGAGCAATGGGTCCCTGACCCCCAGGACTTAGAGGAGAGGGACATTCTGAGGGTCACATATACAGGTAAGGACCTCAAACAGACTTGGAGCCACTGCCATCACCTCTCTTGAGGTGTCATTATTACATATCCCTCTAATTCCTCCTATGCTCAAAGAGTTAGTCTGAAGGATTAGAGATGGTTTTATTCAGAAGCAAGGCAGTGTAACAGACGGTTTATTGGACTTGAATTCTGAAACATAGCCATGGCACCTTGGAAAAGTAACTGACTTCCTTTTGGTTTCCTTGTCTGTAAATTAGTATGAAAATACAGTATGTTAACAGATGAGAATAGTAGAACAGTGTCAAGCACCTAAGAAGCTCTCAATAAACGTTAGTTGTCATTACTGGTGATGTTGTTGTTGTTGTTCAAACCTCCATCATCATGGCACTGCCTTCCACAATGTCACTTATATTGCCAACAGGGGACACTCACCAGTGGTAACTGAAGCACATTCTCTAACTCTTTCAACTGATGCTTAGGTGGGAAGATGGTAATTAACAGTAATAAACAGTAAATAGTGGTAATAAATATTAACATTAGCATTTGCATCTACTAAATGCTTACTATATGTAGGACCTATGCCAGCTATCTTACAGAAAACTTGAGAGAAAGTGGTTATTACTCTTATTTTACAGAAGTGAAGGCTTAGAGATCTTAAATGGGAAAGCTGAGATCTAAACTTGTCTAACAGGAGTCCTAAGCCTAGACTTTTTGAAACCTCTACAGCTACTGCACACTATCTTGTATGACAACAGAATAAGTTCTCTCTTTCTGGGTGAGGTTTGTGCCTTTACAGGCATCACAACCTCTATTATGACTTGGGTTCTTGGGTCCTCTCTTACAACTCCCCTTTTGGGTTGGTATTTTCCCCTCTCCACAGGAGATGGAAGTGAACATGAAGGGGATACCCCTGAACTAGAAGCAGACCCTCCCAGAATGTTTTCCAGTGTGTCCGAAGATACGGTGCTCTGGAACCCAGAGCAGGATGACAGCTGGGATTCCATGCCTAGGAGCTCCAGAGGAACACTCCTGGGTCCACATTTCCTTCAGGAAGATAGCTTCTCAAATCTTCTGTGTAGCACAGAAATGGATTCCCTGTTAAGACCCCACACATGCCCCCAGTGTGGGAAACAGTTTGTGTGGAGCTCCCACCTTGCCAGGCATCAGCAGACACACACTGGGGAAAGGCCCTACAGCTGTCTCAAGTGTGAGAAGAGCTTTGGGAGAAGACATCATCTCATAAGGCACCAGAAAACCCACCTGCATGACAAGCCCAGCAGGTGCTCTGAGTGTGGCAAGAATTTCCGATGCAACTCCCATCTGGCCAGTCACCAGAGAGTACATGCAGAAGGCAAATCTTGTAAGGACCAAGGAGGTGATGACAGCCCTGGGGCTATGAAACGGCAGCGTGCCCTACCGGTGCCAAAATGCCACGTGTGCACAGAATGTGGGAAGAGCTTTGGCCGAAGGCACCACCTAGTAAGACACTGGCTCACCCATACCGGGGAGAAGCCCTTCCAGTGTCCTCGCTGTGAGAAGAGCTTTGGCCGCAAACATCACCTGGACAGACATCTACTGACCCACCAGGGACAAAATCCCAGGAGCAGCTGGGACAGGGGGACATCTGTCTTTTGAAATCTGTTTCTCTTGCGGTTATAATCAAATCTATTAGCCGGTGCTACCAGGAGTCACTGCCAGGACTGTCCCACCTGCACCCCAGCAACCAGAAACATGAGCTCTGACCCTATCCACAGAAAGATGAGGTTTCAGTGTTGGCCAGAGTATTTTTCACCAGTTCTGTGAAATAACACATAAAGTGTTCTTCTAGCAAAACACTTGGGAAACAATGCATACTGCATGGTTGGTTTTCTGTCTAAGCCCATTTTCAAGGACACAGGGATATCACCAGTTTATGGCTGATCGGTTGGTGTCTATGCCATAACAGTTGTTAAATATTTTGACTTTCAGCCTCATATACTAATTACATTCTGTATATATAGAGAGGGAAAAAATGTTTTAACATATCAAAGCCTCTGAGAACTTCTGCAGTACAGCAAGCTTCTGTTAAGCTTCTGTTAATGCAGTGTTCCCTAAATTTATTTGACTTCAGTATTCTACTTCACCTTCCACAGAACTGGTAAATCCATGAAACACTCTAGTGAGCACTGGGTTAAAAAGTAACAAGGAAACAGGAAAGAGATGGTGATAAAGTACCCAAAGCCCCTTTTTTAACCATGTGAAAGCCCAGGGGCCAGAACTTCCTGCTGTTTGGGTCCATCACTCAACCCATCATCCATACGTACATCTATACCTCTCACTCCCACCTGCCAAAAATAAAATAACCTTTGCACTCATTTATTCCTACACCCTTCAGCTTGTGTGCACATGTGCATCACACATGCACACACTCATGGCTGAGAGATTAAGCTACAATGCTATGAGATGGACCTTACACCCCTAAGGAATCTCAGGCCCACACAGAAGAAAAAATTTTATCCCCATGAACAGACCCCTCTCCTCTTGACTGTGTCTTAATGTGTCTATGTATATGTGTGTGCAGAGTCTCTGGAGACAGCATGCTACGTAAAAACTGTACAGCATGCTACGTAAAAACTGTACAAGCTAGTTTTTTTCTGGGGATGAGGGTAGTGGGGATTGTATGGGTGTTTTTTGTTTGTTTTGTGTATTAATGGGAAGTCCTGGTGGTTTTGTGTAAATATTAAGGAGCCCTGGTGTAAAGCACTAAATGATGGGTTAAGTTGTGGGAGCTGAGTATGAAGCTTTCCCCAGCATCACTGTGATCAAGACAATTGTGGATGGATATATCTAGGTCTGACTCACTGGGCCACAGATTGTTTTCACCTGGCAGGAGAGAATGGCGTCTTCTGTGAGTCTTCTTGATTGATTCCAGGCAAGGTACATACAGAAGCCTTGTGCTGAGTGAGGATTTTGTCTTAAGTGCTGGGAAATTAGGACAGAATCACGGTGTTTCCAGTTGTTGTCATTGCTCTTATTTGACTCTGATTGCGTCATCAAGGGGGAAGAGTAATTCTCGAGGAACTCATTCTCCCAGAAAGAGAACTGTCGGGTAAAAGGCTGTGGCTTAGCTCTTCAGCTAACATATGGTAATGAGCTTTCTGGTAGGTTTTCCTCCCAGTTTGGGAAGGTATCCACACTGAAGACTCTTTAACCTGAGGTGTACAGACTAGGACTCATAAGTATTTTAACATCTTGTAGTCAATGGGTTGCTCATTGTTTTTCTTTATTGATTATTATGTTAGTAAAAATCTGTTTTAGATGTATTTACTTATTTGGAAAGTAGATGGGGGAGAGAGAGAGAGAGAGAAAGAGAGAGAGAGAGATTGCTTGAGAGATCTTCTACCCATTGTTCACTCCCCAAATGGCTACAACAGCTGGGGCTGGGCCAGGCCAAAGCCAGGAGGAAAGAGCTTCTTCCAGGTCTCCCACATGGGTGCAAAGGGCCCAAGCACTTAGGCCATCTTCTGCTGCTTTCCCAGGCACATTAGCATGGAACTGGATCAGAAGTGGATTAGGCCAGCGCCGCGGCTCAATAGGCTAATCCTCTGCCTTGTGGCGCCGGCACACCGGGTTCTAGTCCCGGTCCGGGCGCCGGATTCTGTCCTGGTTGCTCCTCTTCCAGTCCAGCTCTCTGCTGTGGCCAGGGAGTGCAGTGGAGGATGGCCCAAGTGCTTGGGCCCTGCACCCCATGGGAGACCAGGAGAAGCACCTGGCTCCTGCCATCGGATCAGCGCGGTGCGCCAGCCGCAACGCGCCGGCCGAAGCGGCCATTGGAGGGTGAACCAATGGAAGGAAGACCTTTCTCCCTGTCTCTCTCTCTCACTGTCCACTCTGCCTGTCAAAATAAAAAAAAAGGTGGATTAGTCAGACTTGAACTGGCACCCAAATAGGATGCCAGCACAACAGGCAGCAGCTTGACCTGCTGTGCCCCTACGCCAACCCCAATACCAACCTGATAATTTAAAATTATCTTATGTGTAAAAGCAGATTGGCGTTATGGAGGAAGAGAAGCAAAGAGGATGGAGGTGGGATTTTTTTTCCTTAATGCTTATTCTGATTTTTCTCTAAGACTTACTTCTCAACCGAAATTTCCCACTTACGGAATGAACCAGAGAGGCAAGAGGAATTGAGCTGCAACAATCTAATTTAGCTGTTATTCAATTTTCTTAGGAAAAAGTGGAAAATAACAGCAGCTCAGAGTTCTGGACCCACATGGAATTGAAAATAGGGTCATTTTGCTGCCTGGGCTTCTAAAGTATATATGACTTGAGCAGCCCTTCCCCTACCTGCCTTCTGCTACTCAGAGCAGCCTTCCCTCTTTGCGTGGAATGCACATATCTTGCTTATATTCCTATGAATAAAGGAAAGTGGCCTACTCTTTATAAGGGAGGCCTTATCCTAGGTACTCAGAGACAAAGCATCTCAGGGTTTGTAAAAGGAGATGCCCTAGGCAATAGGAAAGCATGGGCTCTCAGTGGTGAAATTGGACTATGCCATTTCTTTTGCCCTCTCACTTCAGTACAAATCAGCTCCATGTAAGCAACGGTTCAGAACCTGTTTTGGATCACAGATACATCTGCTAGAAACCAAAAACCCACATTTGAGAAAAACAGACACTTGCAATTCAGTTTTGCACCCATATGTTAGCAGGTTCAGAGCCCACCCACAGAATCACTAAAATGGGGTCAAAGAAAGGGACTTATCCTGACCCACTATATTTGTGTCAAGAATTACAAGGCAAGGATCACTAAATATCTTAAGAACTAAAATACCAGGGGCATAAAGGTATGAGAATAGGGTCTGGTCTTTAATGACTGGAAGGATATTTTACTCTACATTTTAAAAAATTAACTGACATGGTGACAAATCAAGCTCCTCACAAACCTTGTTTTAAGGACTTGTAGGAAGTGATTTTCCTTACTATCAGATTGCAACTCTGAATGACTGCATGTTAACTGCCAGTCTTTTATTTGTACTAGTAATTATAAGGACATAAAGCCCCCAAAATATCAATGCAGTTATGGCACCCACCTGGGAAGCATCCTGAGAGAGTTTCTGCAGAAGGAGCAACACTTTGGGTCATTTCTGGTGTACTTCTGTCTACCTCGGTCCAATACCACCTCCCTTGGACAACAAATAAACAAGCAACAGCCATCAGATGAGTGAATAGAATTGAATGTTTTTTTTTCCACAGTGAATCGGCCCCAAACTTTCATCTTCTAGCCAACTTACTTTTGACACATGTCTACCCTATTCCCTTTAAACAGTGTTTCTGTGGGCAGGATGCAAAACTTGTAAGTCTATCTTCAGAAACCTGTCACATCTGTCTCTACCCTATTCCAGGCATGCTCCCCTTTCCATATCAATATAGTATTTCTGCAAAGAATTCATTACACAAGAGAATGTAACCCAAAGTGTTAGCTTTTCCCAAGGCTATTTACATTTTAAGCCTTAGCTCTAATTGTGGAACGAAAAGCTATTCCCTTGCTAAAGCAACGTTATGCCTTTAGGGAGAAAAGAGAGTGATTATTTGGGACAAAATCTTTCCCCCAAAATACTCCTACCATTAAGTCACTGTATCCATCAAGGGCAAAGCAAGCCCTATAACTCAGACTCTGAGGGGTCGAAAGGAAAGTTCTTTCCATCTCTGTTTAGATGGGTACAGTGAATGGAGAGTAGGTAGAACTAGGCAGCAACAGAAAAGTGTATTCCCTCAATACACCTGCACTGACCAGAGTGCCCTCTCTTCCCTGTGAACTTTACCAGTACATGGTTCTCAAAGTGTGATCTTGACGTGTGTGACACTGAGGAACACTTAGCCCAAAGCCAAATTTGGATGGGAGTGGGAGTGCTTATTTTGCTCAGGACAGTTCTCCCAGAGCTCAGCCATGGGGGCGCCAAGGCAGAGAGGGTTCCTTGAGCAAGGGCAGTGGGACATATTGAATATCAGGGCTTCTTATTTCCTGTAAGTAGAAATTTACCACATAGAACATCAGTGATCGTGTCCAAAAAAAAAAAAAGGTTGCCTTCAGACCAGCAGTGGTATTTCCTAGGAACTTGTTAGATGTGTGCATTCTCGGACCTCATTCCATAACTACTAAGCCAGAGACTCTCAATGTGAAGCCCAACAAGCAGTCTTTCAGCATACTTCCAAGATATATGGTGCAAGCTACTGTTTGAGAACCACTGGCCAGGGGATCTGCTCCTTAGTTCATAGGTCTTCCCTCGTCCTTAACTCAGTGAAAGACCTGGGTTAGTCACAAATTGCAGAAACTTTGATGGGGCAACTACTACACTCCTGTGAATGGGCTGGAGCTTCAAATATAGTCATTTAAGAATCTGAGGGGCCAGCGCTGTGGCGCAGCAGGTTAACACCCTGACCTGTAGCGTCAGCATCCCATATGGAAGCAGGGTTCAAGACCCGGCTACTCCACTTCTGATCTAGCTCTCTGCTATGTCCTGGGAAAGTAGTGGAAGATGGCCCAAGTCCTTGGGCCCCTGCATCTGCATCAGAGACCCGGAAGAAGCTCCTGGTTCCTGGCTTCAGATCGGCACAGCTCCAGCTGTTGCAGCCAATTGGGGAGTGAACCATTGGATGAAGACTTCTCTCTCTCTCTCTCTCTCTCTCTCTCTGTGTGTGTGTGTGTGTGTGCAACTCCAACTTTCAAATAAATAAATAAATCTTTTTTTTTAAAAAAAGAATCTGAATAGACAGAAGGGAACAGATATTGCAAAGAAAATGAAGGAGACCTCTTCCTTTGATAAGTACCTGGTCCTTTCTCCAGGACTTCTAATGAGGTGCCCTGAAGGAGCTGCCATTCAGCACAACTGCAGAGACCTGTTGTGCCAAGTGCGTAAGGGTCCCGGTTTTACAACCTACAATGGGATTAGAGACAAATAAAGGGCCATGCTAGGGACTTCTAGCCATGATTTGGCATGCCTTACAGGCAAGGGACACAGGAACATCAGAGAACTCAGAGGTACAGAAGGGAACTACAATAATGTAGTGAGATGTGACACAAATCAGATTTGACTCAAAATTGCTTACAAAATAGAAGTGCTAAACTGTGGGGAGCAACTTGGACTAGACTAAGTTACTGGAATTAAGACTTATTCTATGCATCTGCTCTCCCACAATATGGTGCTGGGAGAGGAGTAAACAGCTTCTACACAGCTGCCTCCAGTTTGACCAATAGCCTGCAGGAGCTGCTCCTGATTGCAGGAGAGCAGCGTACTCGGCGTGTGGGTAGCAGAGTTGGGATTGGTGGAAGAGGACTATAAAGGAGGAGAGAGACAACATGCACCAGGAACATCTAAAGGGAACATCCGGATAACATCTGAGCAGCCCCCGAGAGAGCCGGCCGGCGGTGTGCCGCTCCCCCGCGGAAGTGGGGAAAGTGGCAGGGGGAGCCGCCCTTCCACGGAGGTGGAAGGACGGCAGCCAACCCGGGAAGGACCAGCAGCAAACCCAGGAAGGGCCGAGCAGACAAAAGAACAGCGCAGGGTCTAGTGTCGTTCCTCCGTGAAGAGGGGGAGCGACACTAAACAGTTAAGCCATGGTTCCAAAAATGCATTCTCCTGCTTTAAAGATTCTGTCCAGTTCAGGCTGTGGGAAAGATGTGCCTTGAAGGCCCCAGTTCCTCCCCCAGTCAAACCCAAGAGGACACACTGAGCTGATGGTTAGAAAGCTGTTCATGGGCTCTCTAAGGTCAAAGGTTACAGTGAATGCTATTGCTCAGTTCCAGCCTCAGGCTCTCCTCTTTCCTGTTACTGCCTCCGTCTTCTCAATAGGCAGCACTCTTCCTCCACTTCTCTCACTTCAGTTTTCTTGGCTTAGTTTTCGTTTTCTCTGAGCAATGCTATACCTTCCTAAAGGTACGTGTTCTCCCCAGCCCACATCCCTCTCCTCCATCATAGTTTCTCCAAGTTTCTGCCCAGTTCCATTTCATCATGAGCCCAATTGTTACCTATCCCTCTGTCTACTGTCCAACTTCTTCTGTAACAGCCTACCAAGCAGGGACCAAGTCCACATACTTCTCACCTCCTTCCCCCAAATTCTTGGATTGTCTGTAACAATTCAGCTGCGGCCCTACCACTCTGCCTCTTTTCTGTCAAACATCACCTACCCCCTCAACACCGAGTGCCTATTACTGGTCAATCTTTGCCATTACCTAGAACAGAGACAGAAACATCTGGCCCTGTCAGGACAACCATAGGCAGGATTCAAAAGTAAGTAATTCTGTAAGCAGAGTACTTTTTAAGTTGAGAATTCTGTGTGACTCATGACTGATGTTATAAATATCCAAATGCCCTCTCCCCACCCCTGCCCTAGAGCTTTCCTCACAGCCTTCCACATGTCACCATTGTCATTTACTCCCTTCCTTTCTCCTGTGGCTCCTGAGAATCAAGTCTCAATCCTAAGAGTGAAGTTTTATATCCTCACCATGTGCTGGGCACTGTGGTTCCAGGCTACAAGATGGCGTGCGACCCTTGCTGCCATCCTTAGTCTCCAGGTGCCTCTTCCAGGAAGCTGAGGGTGGAGGCCCAGCTGCCCCATGCCTGCAGATTTCTAGTGTTTCTGATTTGGAACCTGATTTTCCATTGACTAACCAGTGGGGAATTGAAGGTTGGGCTGAAATAGTCACTGATTTCCTCTTTGGGACCTGTCCTCCACCTTCCCCTGCATTCTCATGATTTTCTCCAGATGAAAAGTTTGCAAAAATGGAGGGGTGGGGGTTGTTGAGTCACCTGCCTCCACATTGCCAAAGCCTCCTCATCACCAGTGCTGAAATACAAGCCTTGAGATGCAGCAGGTTGTGTCACGGGGCCTAGCTCCCTTGCTTGGCACCGAAACTTCACTCCACAACCAGCCAGGGACTGGCAACCTAGGGACACCAGACTGGGTGCTGCAGCACACAAGGCAGACGTCCAGTCTGAGAGGGCCACTGGTCTCAAGTTGTACAGTGCCAACTCTGCTCTTGAAAGATCTGAAGTGCTGCATTGGAGTCTAGAGCCCAAAGTGGTGGTGGTGACTACAAAAGGACCCCCCACCCTCTCCCTAGCAAGTTCACAGAGACAGGATACTGCCCTGCACCAGAGGATGGGCACAGGGGAGGCTGGAGCAGGAACAGGGTCCCAAGGACACATTCACCATAGAAGACAGAGTAGGGAATTGTTGAGTGAGAAAACAAGGGGTAGTGCTGCCAGGAGCCAGGCACTCAATCCAGGTGTCCCACCTGGGCTCAGTACTTGAGTAATGATCTGCTGTCTCCAAGGCTGGTTAGCAGGGAGCTGGATCAGAGGCATAGGCAGAGGCAGGACTCAATTCCAAGCTCTCCTCTACAGGGCATGAGCCTCCTAAATGGCACCTTACCCTTCTGTGCACAAAGCCTGCCCCTTATAGTTTGGATGGCCGTTTTTCTCCATTAGAAGTTACAATGTTTTATATTTCCACCAACACTGTGCTTGTTTCCTCACAGCCTCACCAATGAAAGATTCTCAAACATCTGGATTTTTGACCATCTGATAAACAATACTATTTTTAATGTACATTTCTCTCATGATTAAAATTGTACCCTCTTATTTTAAATGGCTACTTGTATTTCTGTTACTGCTTTTTAAACATTAATTTATGGTAGCTGTTTTTTTGTTTGTTTGTTTGTTTTTACAGGCAGAGTAGATAGTGAGAGAGAGCGAGACAGAGAGAAAGGTCTTCCTTTTTGCCATTGGTTCACCCTCCAATGGCCGCCGTGGCCGGCGGCGCTGCGGCCAGCACATCGCGCTGATCCGAAGCCAGGAGCCAGGTGCTTCTCCTGGTCTCCCATGCAGGTGCAGGGCCCAAGGACTTGGGCCATCCTCCACTGTACTCCTGGGCCATAGCAGAGAGCTGGCCTGGAAGAGGGGCAACTGGGACAGAATCCGGTGCCCCGACTGAGACTAGAGTCGGGTGTGCCGGCGCCGCAAGGCGGAGGATTAGCCTATTGAGCCACGGCGCCGGCCGCTAGCTGTTTTCTAAGAGTCACTACAACTCTAAAATCCAACAACTACCCAATTAGCATTACATGAAGCAGAAGAAGTAAAAAGAAGCAAAAGAAGTCAGAGACATTCCATTTGCACTGACTAAAACACCCAACTATGCCACTCGAAACTGGGCACAG